ACACCTGTAATTAACCGTAGAGACGGTAGAAGGTGAAGAGGTCGAGTCAGAGCTAACGATTGAATGCTAAGCTGCTTCTCAATTCAACGATTTAAGGCCATTATTCTGGACAGAAATCTGCATGTCATGCACCCAATATACATTAAAGTGAAAAGTGACAATTTGAAGCTTGATACACAAACAATGAAAGAACGCATTGAATTTGATTGAAACAGAAATAGTTCCTTTAGGTGTTCTCCTTTATAGTGAGTGTAGTCCTTATATATACAGAAATAATCTTCTAAGTATTGGTGCTTAGCTTATGCTAATCACCAGTGACATGGCACACCATTGATTGGTGAATAAGTTAATGGTAGGTTCAAGGAATTTATTGAACTAATTAATTGGTGTGTCATGTCATTGTGCTTATGCTAAGCTTTGTTAGTTATTTTGTGTTTCTTGTTCTTAGTCATTACAATTGGTATCAGAGCAACGATTACTTTGGATGACGCTAATTCAAAAATAAGGAAGCTTCTAATATGCGTGTTTGTGCAAAAATTGAGTTGACTTTGGTTATGACAACCATAAAACTCAAGTTAGAGCAATATTTTCCTTGGAGTCAATGGAAGAAGATTATCATTTGAGTGTTGCCTCTTTTCAATGATAACAAATGATCCAAAAGCACGATTGGCATATTTATCAATTCAAAGAAATAATACATTTCTTACATTTTTTTTTTCCACTTATTTAATGTTTCACAAGGATCAATAGAGTCTGACAAAAAGCAGTCAACACAAAATCGAGCATATATGGTCAAATAATATTTTTTATTTACACATTTTTGAAGACTCACAACATGCTACCACTTTTTACACTCACATTACGTAGGATCCACTATTTATAATCAACCAAAATCTAACACAAACATATAATTAAGTAGCCAAAACATTCTGCTACCTTTTAAACCAACCAAACAAACCTAAACTAATTAAAGCCAAATTGAATCTTTACAAGTTCTTAAAGAATTATTGACCAAGATAAAATATTGACTAATATAGAATAGTAAATAAGGGAT